GTTAAGCTTATGGTACTTAGAGCCGGACTTGTGACATTCTTTTAAGAGAGATAAGCGCACTTTTCGTAAACCTTGATTTGAGTGTTACATTCTAAAGTGAGATTTGCTAATGGAGAGTAGAGGAGGAGTTTGGGATCCAAAATGACCTACGTGAAAGAGCGAGCATCTTTGATGAATAGAGTCAACTCTTGATGCTCTAGTGTCGCATTAGAACTATGGTACTCACAAAGTCAAATCATTGCATTATTAATAATTCATATATGTTATGGGTAATTGTTGGTCCCAATTGATGTGTGGTTGATTCACCTTAGGCTAGCTGAAATATTCATTTTTCTAGTGGAGGTGGGAATTGCCTTAATTGCTTGAGGACAAGCAAGAGCTTAAGTTTGGGGGAGTTGATAAGTAGGAATTTTGACCGCTTATTTGCGCTCTTTTACTTGCTTTTTAGCACAAAAATTCTTAAAGATATTCCCGAAAACTAATGAAATGTGCTTTTGTACATGAACATTGGTAAACTTGCAAAAGGAGTTAAAATCAACTCATAAAGGATTCAAAAGTGGACAAGGACCAAAACAAGGCAAAAGGCCCGCAGTGCGGACCGCACAATACTGTGTGCGGCCGCAAAACAAAGGAAGAGCCATGTCAGTTCTTCTTCAGAGTATGCGGACCGTACAAAGATTGTGTGGCCGCAGAAGAGGAGATTCAAAAAGCTGGTTTTGGCCAAGCTAAAAGAGTGTGGACTGCACCATAATTATGCGGCCATAGAATGTCAAGTACGGCGGCACTGAATATTATGCGGTACGCAGCAGACAAAGATCAGAGAGATGGGACTTCAGAGTCAAGCTGGAATGCGGACTGCACTATTTTTGTGTGTGGCCGCACAATCAGAAGCGCGGCCGCACTCATTTTTATGCGGTCCGCATAAATCCCGAAGTGCCAAGCCCAAGTTCCAAGAATGCGAACCGCGCTATAAATGTGCGGCCGCAGAAACTCATTGTGCGGACCGCACACAAAATTATATGGCCGCACAATCTTCGCAGGGGCATTTTTGTCAGATATTTTCAGCTCAGTATAAATAGAACTTTTTGTCATTTTTAGGGTTAGTTTTGTTTTGGGAGAGCACCTGAGCCGTTTTTCTTTACAGTTTTGAGTAATATAGTACTAAATTAGCTTCTAAACATTAGATTTTCTTTCCCTAATCAATTATTATGCATTCTATCTTAATTTCTTCTTGTATTTCTTCATTTTTCATGAGTAGCTAAATTTCTAGCTAGGGTTGTGGCCCAACCCTAGTGTGGGTACTTAATGGGTGTTTGATTTAGGACTTGTTTGTGATTGGGTTAGTGATATTTAGCCTAGCTCTTGCTTGAATTCAAGAATTAATGGTTGCAAACATTGATTCATGCCTAATTGACTTAGTCTCTACTTGAGAAAGAGAGACTAAGTATA